AGAATTTAAAAAATACATTTACATACAAATAAAATTAAATTTGCATAAAAACACACAATAAAGAGTTAAAGCTGAAGAGACGGATTGTGTCTGGCTAAAAAAAAGTCGTTATTTCACTAAAAAGATTTTTTCTCGTAAAACAAACGAGCTTTAACTCGTGTACATTTCCATTGTCCCGCAGCTTCTACTTTTAAAAGAGCAAAGAATAGCGATGGTGCTCTATTCTTGTTAATTCGTTTGCTGGTTTTCGCACGCTCTCTACGTACAAATAAAGTTGCGGCGCGCTTCGGAAAACGCGGTTTGTTGTTTCTTGAATGCAAGTATCAGAGAATAAATTTCTACAGATTGTGTCGCATCTTCTGCGGACGCTTCGCGTTGCAATAATCGCCGTACTATTATGACGTAATAACGCCCCCGCGCCATTACTTTAATACGGTATCGCGTCTCGCCGCTGAGTTTTCCCACCCCTCGCACACAATCGCGCACGTAATGTCGCGATATCGAACGGCCACTTCTCGGCTGCTGGTTTTCCAATGCGCCGCTAGCCATTCGACAGCGTTACTCCGACTTCTATTTTTATAACGACGTTGGGGATCAAATTTCTAGAACGACCAATAACAGTTTTTATATAAAAGAATTTCTGTATTCTCGATACTCCATATAAACACCATTTCTTTGTTTCAATTCAAGACATTCTTTGAATAAAACTAAAGTCTGAAAGAGGTAGAAAAAAAAAACTCGAGGTCATGGTGCAACGAAGTGAGAGAAAATCGAACGGGCATTGCGAACGAACCCGCAGAGCTATATTCGAGTCGATGAAACGACGTCATCGAATCGGCAATACGTCCGTTCGATGATGATTGCGCATCGCCGTCGCGAGGATTCGATGATAATGCTTCGATAGGGAACTGTCGCACGAGAAAACGTAAACGCGTATATCAACGCGGGAGTTGTTGTTTCACCGGAAGAGAAATATTTATACTGCTTACAATTACTCGGTACGATCTCTCCTCGACCGCGACGGTCGAGGTTTATTCTCCTTGGTGAAGAATAAACCACCGCGTCTGTATGATAGGTAGTCCAAATACGTGCTCGTGCTGGTAAAACAGTCGCGCCGTTCGATCCATCGTATTTATTGTATTCTTATATACTCTTTACGTTAGCGGCGCCAATATCTCTTTCTCTCTCTCTCTCTCTCTCTCTCTCTCTCTCTCTCTCTCTCTCTCTCTCTCTCTCTCTCTTTCTCTCTCTTTATCTTTCGACTTTGTTTTCGCACGCACAATATATCTTCGCATTGAATTAATATCAGAATTTTAGTGTCAAAAATGAATCAGCGCTTGAATGAACAATTTTTGCTTGAATTTATGCTTTGAGACTTTTATTTAATGACGCGGAAATAATCCAACTCCGGGAGCCGGAAGATACGGGTCGCTGTATTTGTATCAGTCTTGGCGCTTTATTTGCTGTCGTAAATATTACGTTTTCCGGTGACATACACGCGCGTAGAGTCTATTTCGCTCGGTACTATTTCTTCAAGCCTACGTGACGGCCGAAGAGGACGAAATGGTCAGGTGGACGACTGTCAGGGAAGTTATTGGATGTAGTCTGCGGCTTTATGGGATCATCGGAACGGTCGTTCGCCGCGCATCAGTTCATCGCGCCAACCGAAATGTCGAGGAAACGCGAAATTAAAACATTTTTATCCCACATGACACCAGGGCGAAACCGCACTCGATGATATTTTTCTTCGATCGTTTTCTTTTTGTTATGCTATATCTATATAACCATTTTTATTACAGCAATTTTTACACAGCAAACGTAATACATCATTCTCGCAATAATATTTTGTGCACGCTCTCACATTTGATTCTCTTTCACGTATAATCTCTCAAAATCTATAATAAATTAGATTTGCTAGTTGGTAAAGTGATATTGATTACTTATCAGCACAGAACGTCGGCGTTATTATTCATAGCTAGTTGATAGCTAGTCACCTTTGCGAAAATGTTGAATTTCGTGACTGAAAATTGTGCAAGAAAAAGAAAATTTTCTGAAAGCAAAACCGCTCATAAAGATCGACCGCGCGGTTGTGGATATTCAGCGATACTTTCATTTCTTCCTTCGATAATCCTAGATTCCGGAGCGAATCTGGAACTCGCGTTAGAAGCTATTCTTTCCCGATAATCGCTTGCCCAGCACTAGAATAAAGTAGCGTCGTCAGATCGCGGAATATACACAAATTCTCGATTAAGTGCGTAACATTTTCGAAAGTATTAAAAAGTTATTTGAAATTCAGTTGTGCGAAACGTGACGTAAGATAAAATTTCAAAATATTTCCAATTAAATTATACGCGAAATTCACATATTTCGAAATCTCACAATTACGGTTTTTTTAAAAGTATTCTTGAAAAAAACATGATCTTCTCAAAATATGACGAATTATATCGGTTCAGATACGTATTACGAAATCGACTAGTAATAAAAAGACAATATTTAGTCTGCAGCTGCGATGAGCATAAGCATTAAATTGAAATTAGCATTTTAATATCAAAGTGCGATATTCATTTTTAAGCGGGAATTTCAGTCGACGTCGTTTCTGTTATAAAAAGCGATTCAGCGTTAATTGCAGGTCAACGGAAATAATATTCACTGCGATTGATATCCGCAATTATATTTTTTGTTTAAAATACAACTAAAAATATGTAATTACATGTCGGGCTATAAACGCGGCAAAGAGAAAAGGCGATCTTAATTACTTCGGGAAAAAAAATTTTTATTTGGAATTAAAACTACAACATATCTTTGTCGCGGACACTGTAGCGCTAATGAGTCGGTGTCGGGAAAGCGAGTTCAAAGTAAAAACGTAAATATTATGTTACACGATTCAACACCACATTTCGTTCGCGAGACGAAAGATAAAACATAGCGTAAATTGCGGACATAACTATATACACAAATGACACCGCGTTGCGGTGAATGTCACAGAAAATTAGTTAATTTTTATGTATTATTCATATCTCTTGTCCATCTGAGCAAAAATTACGGTGATTTTTTTTCTCCTTCGGAAGAGAAGCGCGAAACATCGAGAAGCGTGAAACCAGAACTGTAATTTTGTCGAAATTGAGAATTAACTCTATTTTTTACGTATAAATATTCTCTCGCACAATTTGCCGCGAGGCAAAATGGTACACTATACATAGTCGTCTACTATAAACGTGAAATGAATTAATGTAGAAACACAGGAATACTCTAGATTAGACCAAATGTTAACAGAGGAGCGTTTTAACTTTTAATTTTTTTAGTCCGCTTTTTTATAGTGGAAAGTTTCGGAATAAAATTTTACATTACGCAAATACGCGCTCGTTGTAGTGGAATATATACTATAAGCGAAAATCACATCGAATAATCTCGCACGACGGCAAATCCACCATAAATTAGGATAAATGTAGTTTTCCGCTCACTGTAATTTCAATGTCGGTGGTAGTAACGCGAGGTGCCATTTTATCGATATTGCAATCGTGCGCTTATACGTTTGATCACAGTGAGTCACGTTATACGTGTTGGTTAATAGTTAAAAATGCGTTTTGACGATAACGGCGTGTATTTATCCGCTTTACATATAATTTGCCAGATGTTTTTTGAGTTACAATCAGAGATATACTCATGGTACCCGTGCGATAACGTTTTATCCAAAAATTTATCCATCTAATATTTCAGCAACCAATGTAGAATATTATCTCAATTTATTTTTTCTTTCAACATTTTTGTTTCTTACGGCGTTTAATATTCTTCTATCTCGATAAATTAAAGTTCGCGCTTCCTTCTGCGAGGAAGAAGCGAAGCTCACTTGAATCTCGATGAAGAGAGAGAATAAGATTTTGTTATCTATTTACTTGCGGAAAGTTGACGCTTACTAAGTAGATCTGCCAGACCTTGTGCTGCAGGGCACAAATATAACTCCAAGAAGTATGACAGCAGAATATTTCATATTGTATGTGTGTCAGCGTCACACGTACGTGTTAAACCGTTGTACGTGGTGGGAATTAAGTAAGTATCAGGAGTTTGAAATTTCGAACAGATTACAACGAGCTAACCCGAGAGGAAGTTTGCCAGAAGGTAGTAGCACCCGTTCAGATTTGTCCGGAAACATTTCCGTAAGTGAGATTGTTGTTTTGCAATGAAAAGCGCGATTGAACGCGATCGCAAATAATTAACTTGCTCTAATGGCGTTATATATTGTCGTGACTTCTCTCGATTTTAGTCTTTCTCTTTTCTCTATCTTCTGTTTGCTCCGTACGTTGTTTTGTAAATAACGTAAATAAATCTTATAGTTTTTGACGCCAACGATATCGCTTTATTTTTAAATAATAGAGTTAGCGAGCCGAGTTTATGATATTTCTGTCAAATTGACGTCGCGTAAAAGTCGGGGTTTAAAACTCACGTTTTTTTTTTTAGATTTGCAATCGATACATAGTTCTCTCTTTATCACTGGTGTATTTTTATATCGGAATATCGTGCAATATATGAAAAAAATGAGAAAAATTGTTAAAGACCATTCCATATCGCGCCATGAAACTGCGTATATTTCGTAGAATATTGAAATAGAAAAAATTTTGATCGCTGAGAGAGAGAGAGAGAGCGCATGTAGCTGTAAACGTTAAAAGCTTTGAAACATAAAAGTTAATTTAGACGAATGCTTCGAGCATTCCGTAAAAATCGGATTCTGAAAGATAACTAAAACGCAAGCGAATAATCTTGTTAGAACTTAAATTCGTTTGGGATTGAAATGTATCGCCACATATTCAATTACATATCTAAGAAGAAAAGAAATCAAGATATTTTCTTCCCGTTCGAGGTAAGAAAAGATATTAATATCGATTTTTAATCTCGCCGCTAAAAAAAAATGCATGAATGACTTCTGAGAAAAATGTATCAGCTCGTATATCATATCTCGATATCGCGGTGTCGTCTTATCGCGAGTGAACGAAGGCGATTTTCAAGTAAATATTGTCAGTGACGAGGTTGCCGACGATCGTAGCCATGTTGATTATATTCTGCCTGTTGTCACTAATAGTTTCCGCTTCGTGTTTTCAATCTCGAATAGTGGGAGGCTCAGCTACAACCATCACTAAGTATCCGTATCAGGTCAGTTCACGGGTAAAAAAAAAAAAAAAACACTCGTTTGTGATTATAGTGCTCCTCATTCAGATGATTCTGTGTGACGCACACACACACACAGATTCTTTATGTTATAAGAAATCCGCTTTCTCGACAGGTTTCTATTCATTATAACGATAAGCTCCAATGCGGCGGTTCGATAATTAGCAAGCAATGGATCTTGACAGCGGCCCACTGCGTTTATGGGTATGCGCGGCTATGACGCTTGCTCTTGACACACTCACGATTTTTTAGATCAGTTCAGATAGCACAAAATAACTTTAACATCAGGTCACACAAGTCAGTAAGTGGATTTATTGATTGAAGATAATTAATGTTGTGTTTTAGCGGAAAATTATCGCTCTTCAAAGTCCGAGTGGCAAGTACTTACTATGACAAAGAGGGTACTATGATCACAGGCATTTCCTCGATTATTCCGCACGAGTGGTACGACGAGGACACTTACGATTACGATGTCGCTTTGATCAAAGTACGTAAAATTGTAGCTTAAAAATTAAAATACGCGTGTACATGTGTTTGTCGAAAATATGTTTGCAAACAAACTTGTTTGTTTCTTAGTTGTCTGCCGCTTTGAAGTTGAGTTCGAAAGCGAAAGTCGTAGATCTGGCGACACCCTCGACGAACATAAAGACCGGCAGCAAGGCGATTGTTACAGGATGGGGAAAAACGTCGGTAAGTTTTTCTTGTATTTGTTCGTGTCGAAAGAAGTTTCAATTTTCGTTCCCGCGCGTTGACGTTTATCGCTGTTTTTGTTAGAGATTACGTTATACGAAGCTGATTAGCCGCGTGTAAACGTTAAGGTTTGTTTGTCGATCGCGATTGACCGTGGTTGGGTCGTCGTAACTAATTCATTGACGGGATTTCGGATTGACACTCGCAAACATTTTGATAGTCTTTATTACATAGAGAGCGTGTGTTGTGAATTTCAGTTGAACGGCCAGAGTTCGAAAGTACTGCAAACTCTAACGGTGCCGGTAATAGATCAAGAGATCTGTCGAAAGATCTTCGTACGTCATCGGATAGTAACATCGACTATGCTGTGCGCTGGATACACCACCGGGGGAAAAGACACCTGTCAGGTACGTTTTCGCTTCCGGTTCGAAAATGTATCTTCTCCCGCGTCGGCAATCTATTAGACTACTTTGATCAGACATTCCTTTTATATTCTTTTTTGCATTTTCTATCTGCCGTGTGCGCACAAAAACGGAATAAATAAATAACACACGTACCATCGAATTTTTTTTCTTTCTACATTTGTGAGAACAAAGAACGTGTCTTATCTATTATGAACTATCCGCTGCGCTATCTAATTCTTCTATTACATCAAAGTGTTAAAATCTATAGACGCGTCCGCGCAGAAATTTTAATACAATTTCTTTTTAATAATTCTTTTTTGTATCAAGAAACTCTGAATTGAGTTTCTAAAACGACTGTAGGAAAAATTAATTTAACGAGTTAGATGTTTCTCGGCATTCTTCGGCTGCGAGTTCGTAGGAATCGATTTTTGCGACGTACGAAAGTGAATAAGGTTTATTTGTAGGGCGACTCCGGCGGACCGCTCGTGCACAACGGCGTCCAAATTGGGATCGTGTCCTGGGGCGCTCAGTGCGCGAGTGTTGGATATCCTGGAGTGTACACGCGAGTATCCGCCATACGGAGTTGGATAACCAAGCGGGCGAACGTGTAGCAGAATTAATTTTTCCCATCTCGTCCGTGCGTTCTCCGAGATAGCGGGGAGGTCAGTGTACCGTTGAAAAAATATTTGCTTTTGTTTAGCCGCGTCAAAACCGGCGGACATTATGAGAAAGATACCACTTACGCGATGCTTATTTCGCAACACGAGAAAAACTGGAAATCTACGACCGAAGAAAAGGATATTATTTGCAACAATGTTGCTGTGTAATTGCGAAACTGTTAAAAACCGCACAATCTCGTAAACTTATATACTTGTTACATTTTAATCTTCACAAATAAATATTGTTTTTATCTTTTAGCATTGACGTAAAATCATGTTATCATTCAATTTTTGTGTTCTCAAAGATTATCAATTTGTTTTTTTTTTTCATATATTTTGTGTTACGTAATTCGATTTGTTCTTAAGATACGTTAATTTAACGCTTATTACGATAACCAATGTTCTCGGTACATTACGCAACGCACTCCTCGTATCTTAATTGCCGTCACGATTCCACGAAGATGAGCGAATATATAATTAAACACAATATCAGTTGCATGTATTCCGAATTGAGTTACGACATCGCGGCGTCGATTGAGAGAGCCTCGCGCGCGGATGTGTTGATTACACGTATTTAAGCGCGTGGCGCGCGATCTCTCTCGCGTATATACACGTGTAATCGCCAGGTGTTTTCGCGAGTTGCCGCGTGAGCGCGAGTGTAATCAGTTGCGAGGTGGCGACGTGCAATTTTGCGCAATGCTATAAATATTATCTAGCTGCCCTTTACACTCCACCCCGACGTAATCGTTCGTCATGCGGGATTATTAATTTCACCGTCGACTCGGAACGGGTGCTCCGAGTTGCCGCTCCGGCGGTTGCCGCGATGGCATTGAATAAGCGGTTTTGCAGCCTCGCACAGGTGGCTGAATCGTAAAGGCTGGCACGAACAGTCGACGCTCGCGTCCGCTGCACCTACCTGCCTTCCGGCTACGGCCGTAAAGAGCATTGCCATTGTAACGTACGTATAGCAGCCGGGATGATCGTCGTTTTCGTCCTGCAAAAAGGCGTCACGCCGAGGCGGTTTCGTCGTTGTGTCGGCGCAGCGCGCGTTCTTCGCATGCTATCTGATTTCTGAATAGTTAAGAATCACGGCTGACGCGACGCACTAATACAGTGTTGTGTGCATCACAAGCGATCGATGTTTCGCTACTCGGATATCGGTTCTTACTTGAGAAGAACGGTCTGAATTTAGCTCGCGTGTATTTTCGGGGTTTTTGATAAAGACGAATGATGACGCGTATACTTCAAGCGCGGCATCCTAACTTCAAGGAATGAGAATATTTATTAACGCAAACTCGCGTTGCACAACAACGGCTTTTCTCGGAGAGAGTAATTATAGATCCGGCTTTTCTTCTATAGTCGCGCGTTTCGGAAGCGCCGGTATCGTATAGAAAAGAGCGGCATTCTTTGACTCGAGACGTTCTTCGTAATAGTTACGTGTAATTACTTTCCCGTGAAGGCGTTTAATTATCTTCCGACCAGGCTTCCGCTTCGGATCGTCTTGGATAGATGTACAATAAAGCGAAGCGTTTTAGCGTTCATCTACGGTATGTTGCTCTAGCGAACGACTCGTCTGAACGGATAACGACGACAAACAAGCGGAATCTAGGTCGAATTCTCGGAAGCCGTGCGATCGGAGAATTTCTCTCGCGCTTGGAAAAATTGATAACGACGTCAATTAACTTGGATATCGAAATACAAGGAGCGCGCATTCGGCGAATAGTTTTTGTTTTTTTTTTTTTCGGCCACGCTAAAATTTTCACGATGCGCGTGCGGTTCGCGCTTCAATTTCCGATCGCTCCGCGAAACACGACGCGTATCACGTAATATCGGTGACAACTTCAAATCTGATCATTCGTGCGTAAATGTTGAATGATGTATGAGGAAGTGACAGATAAGAAAAATCACATGAAGTGTCGCGTGAAGACTTTGTGTGTCATTAGTGTCATTAATTGGTATCAATAAATGGAATAAAATCAATAGCTCAAAATCTCGTTAAGATCTCACGTTTAAGTAAACACACATTTTAACGCAGTTACTCATTTGTTTTAGTATCAAAAAATTATTTCCACTTTTCTCGATTACAAATGTCTGCTATATTCATTACATTCGCGATTAATACGTAATAATAATAATTACAGAAATAACAATAATTACGGCTTTGATCACAATGTCAGAAGAACAAGACAGCGTAACACACACAAAGCGTATTGTATTTGAGCAACATGGACATCCATTCAGAGCAGATTCTAACGATCCTTTTACGTAAGATCCGTCCCAGTTCTTGTCCAAGTTGAATTCACGTCCAGTAGTTATACTAGTTTATAGATACGATGACTATTGTGATGATATTCGAATATTGGCCATCTCGAGAACGATCTAGACAACGAGGACAAAGCTGGTATTGTTAAAGATACATCAATCCGCACGGACAAATGTATCAAGCGAATTTATCATTGGTTGTTGAAACCAAGTCTCTGTCGGATAGAAGCATCTTCCAGATTATTCCTGGAAGTTCCGGAGATAAATAAAGCAGGACAAACTAATTTACTAGCCAAAACTTTATCGCGCGAATTTTTTATACGCCTATGTCAGCACACGTGAATTTATTATTTTCAGTTATGTTTTACTAATAGTAATTACTGTTTCAACAAGTAAATTAGTTAATTTAGCCAAAATAATTATTTTTGAAATTATATAATAAATTATTACGTTCAGAGAATCTAGATCACGCTCCCAAATTAGTCAACAAGTCATAATTAATGTCTAAAATCTGGAACAATTATAAGTGTTTACAATTATATCAACGACTCTCCGTCAAATCTATTTAACTGTTCTCGCAGCAAATAATACTTGTGAATATTGCATCACGATTCGAAAAATTAGAACGATCGATAAATTTCGAGGTATTCTTACGATTACGTAACGTATTTGCGCCGTTATTTAATAATAACATGAGTATATTTTCAAAGACAAATAGAAATAAGTAGAAATTGTTTTTTAAGAATCTGTAGTGTGTATAACAAGTCGATACAAGTGAGATATCACTTGATAGATATTTTACACGGCATTTTCTCGTTTCAGCTTTTTCGATTGTGCTGAATAAAAAAGCGTAATCTTGTTGAGAGTTTAATTTTGCGAGAAATAATTTGCCGGCGTCTTTCTGATCTGATCGCACCTGTCACGGATGTGCAAATGATTTCTCGCGAGAATAACAGTCGTTTGGAATTCTGATCATCGTCCCGTAACATGTAAATGACACGGTCAAGTTGCACTGACACGCAACGCAAATTCACGGAAAAGTATTATTGTGCGTGATTAGATCTTACGATTACAGCAAGATATTGCGGATCACACATTTGTAATTAGCGGAGTAAACGGTCATTCGTAAAAGCAAATGCTGGAGCGTGTTTATTTGCGATGTACGCTTTGAAAACGAATCTTTACTTTGAAAACCACCGGCAATAATTAACTTACTACTATTTGCAGTGACTTTAGGTGGACAAGTCAAACACGATGTAAATCACGCTACTTGATATTCTCGCATCGACGTTCAACAATTTGAGCGTTTTGTTTATGTTAGTTGAGTGAGTAAACGCAAAGAATAAAAGAGGCAGATAATTAAAAAAAAAAAGAGAGAAAAAGAGAAAGCAAGATATATATATATATATATATAATAGCCGAAGAAAAAAAACAGATAGGTACGTTCACTTTGGATGCTGTGCTTTTTTATAAACAGCATCACTCTGTACAGACCTTGTTGGGAAAGACGTTTGTCAGATAATTTTTCGTCCTCCTTCCCTTTCTCCTGAGACAGAAATTATGAATGTCGAATGAACAAACAAGCGCATGAGCGAGGAAAAGAATCCTCTCTCTCTCTCTTTCTCTCTCATTTTCCTTCTCTGTCGTTTAGTTTTTGTTAACGGGCTGGCTTCGAGACGCAACGGAGCGAGCAGAAGAAAATAAAAGAAAAGAAAACTGTTACACGTTCGCGAAAAAATATTAATCTCCGCACACAGACGAAAAGTATCGCTCGTCCCGTGGTAGTTCTTTTTATTTTTATGTCTTTACGCAAGGCAGTTTTAAATATCGAGCAGTCGCGATCGAAAATTGGCGAGCTTTCCGGCAGCGATATTTTTCTCTACGGGATAACGGAAAGAGCGGATAATATATTGCGACGACTTCTATCGATTTTTACGCTCGCCTACAGCGGCTGTGATGTAGAAAAAAAAAAAAAAAAAGTGAACCGGCTGCAGTTTCGAGAAGTATCTTCTCTATCGGCTGCAATTCGCGCTCACGAAAGAGAATCAATTAATTAATTGGGATTCTCGCACAACACGTGCGAAGAATCGCTTCGAATCTTGCGCGCAAAATTAATAATTTTCATTGCATTTAAAGAAGCGGACATATATACATATAATATAAACAAGTAATTTGCACATTTTAGCTGCAAAATTGTTGTTACCGTATGACAAATTGGATCGATTTTAATTTTAATTCCGATAAATATCGTAGAAAGATAGATTAAAAATATGCGCCATTAATTCCCTAATGGCCGCTAAAAGGATTTTGAACGACCGCCGGTTAATTCCGCACAATCTGGCTCTCAGCGGGACGGAAATGAATTGCAGATATGAATTTATATAAACTTTTAATCCTTTCCATTAATTGACGCGCGACAAAATATCGACGGTGAATTAACGGCGTGTCCGCGCGCGCCGGAAGTTTTGGTTTCGAAACGAGACAATTAAGCCGCACTCCGGCGAATCGGAAGTGCAGGACGCTCATCGCTGCCGCTTAAATTAAATGGCATGCTCGAGGATTGTATTCATGGACTTTATCAACGAGCGAATACGTACGCAGCGGGTCGAAATAATTGATTGCTAGTCCGTTGCTGCTACGTTAAATCTTTATGAATATGCATCAATTATTGACGAAAGCGCGTAATGTTTGAGTTTCTGCAGCCGCGCCTATTTGCACTCGAACGGCTACTTTCTGCGCCTTTTTCCTCGGGAATAGACGCGTGCAACGCAAAATATATCTATATCTTGCACGCGCGAGACACATGTGTTTCAAGTTTGATTCGCGCACCGCCAGTTAGTGATGTCAAAATTGATTGCTGATGTGTCGGAGATACATAGGTTTCGATGTGTTTCAACGTCTGTCTATATTTATAACAATTTGCGGTTTATTGATAACACGATATTATAATCTGGCGTACAATTAATTGGGATTTTGGTGCGATGTGATCGCGCGTGCGATTGTCTCATTTGTAGCGGATACCAGAGTTCGCAAAGATCCAGGGCAAGTAGCTGCTGATACGAGTATAGACACCGGGATGTGTTCTGGTCTCGCATCCTAATCCGTAGGATAGAATGCCAATCAGCGTCTGCTTCGAAACTAGAGGCGCGCCCCGATCACCCTGTAGACAGTGATATCACGAGTAGTCTCGGTGTGTGTAATGGTTGTGTAGAGGCTTCTCGCGCTAATTGCCAGCAAAATCAAAGTGCTTGATTGATTGTTGAATGAATTTAAAATACGGATCATTGTTTTTTTATTTTTTGTTTTTCAAAATCTCAGTCAATACGCGTTTGTTTTGTTATATTTACTTATTTGAAAATATAAAAATATTTATTAAAAAAATACACACACACACACACACACGTGTGTTGTATTGGAACACGTTCCCGTACCGCGATCGTGCACAGGCACAGGCCGCGCTACGGGAAATAACGGAGATTTTTCTCGCGTGCTCTTCGTGTCTCGCTCGCTCGATGCTTCGGCACCGCGCGTGGAAATTACGTTGTCGAGTCGAGTGCCGCATTGTTCACCGATCTGGTGCAACCGACACCCACCCGAACCAACCAACCGCGCGTGTACTCGCGGGAAGACTATTGACTTCATCGACGTAATTATACACTCGTGGCCGTGTGTGCAATTGGAATTCGACTGCTCTTAATTTGCGAGCATTGCATTTTCCGACGCGCGATCGTTGCTTCTCCAACGGGATCATTACGGGAAATTCGAACACGGAGATTTGCGCGCGCGCGCGCGCGAAGATGAGATACCGCTGCTTGAAATTACTCGAACATTCCGATAATCGTTTCGATTTCAGATAACATCACGATTCTCAGGCGCGAAATTAATAATCCATGATCTCCATTCTTTCTCTTTCTCTGATACTTCTTTCTATATATATGCAAAAGAAATTATGATAAAAGAACGTACTCCGGTAATTCTGGCACTTCGCGCGGTACTTTATCAGACCCGTTGCATCTGACACCCGAGAGAGCCCCCAGCCAGGCTCGATGGCACGTAGATGATGTATATACAGACTCCACGCGTGCCAAGTGTCGTGACACGCGACGACGAGGTCGAGGTGCCTCTCCTCGGTGTCGTCGTCGACGCTCGGCGAGCACTCTCTCGAGTGTCGGCCACGCTTGTCGTGGCTTTGGCGAGCGAGACACACAGACACACACATACACAATATACTCCGTTATGGATCAACGCGTTCTCGACACGGTGTAACATCACTTTCATCTTATGTTCATCTTACCTGACACACCTCCGACGGACAGGTCGCGTTAGCGGCGCACAGCATCTCCTTAGACAGCGGCTTGAGGCTCGGCATTTTCACCCTGCACGTATGTTGATTTACGATCGCCACAGCGGCCGCCGCGAGTTGATTTCCGGTTCCCTGGAAATTTGGCACGGCTTGGCACGTTTTTACGACACGTTTCTCGTTATTGTAACATCTCGCCGTCGTCGCGGGAGCCGAGAAAACGGTTTGCGCGACGACGGTGTTTCGTAACGATTTACTTTGGTACCGACGTGACTCTCTGAATAACGTTTGCACGCCGCCGGGCGCCAACCGCCGTTTCCCGTCGGCGGAAAGTTGCGGTAAGTTTGCATACTCGAGTGCCGCGCAAGTTGTAAAAATCTCGTTGCGAGGAAAAAGGGTTTTCAGAAACTGCGAGTTACGCGTTCTCCAGGTGCGCGGCACCTGGACACACACACACACACACACAGATATACACACTCGATCGAACGATAAAACGGCGGTTTTTCTCAAACAGAATGGTTGTTCGATTGTAAAAATCCGAGAAATAAACCGAAGCTGTTGACTTACCTGAGATCGTTTCCAGCCAGTCACGACGCAGCGTGTTTCATCTTTGACTTCCTCTCCTTTCTCTGGAAGCTCAACGGGAAGCAGCTTCGCTCCGAACTCCGCGGGAGTCCTTAGCTACACACACGTGACAAATTCGACAGGTTTGCATACGCACGTGATAGAATACACGTGTTGAATACGTTTTGTTCCGAGAACGAAAGGAATACGTACCTTTATCAATGCTATATCGTTGAAGTATACGTATTTATCAAATTTTTCATGTATCACGATATTGCTTATTTCTAACACGTCGCCGGCCATGGAAACGTAGGAAGAACGAACACGTACGGATATCTTCGACAAATTCTCTCTGAGAAGAGAAACAAGCGCCAATATACGAGTAGAATGTTTATTGTCATAGAATTATATAATTTGAAGATTTATATTATATTATTGATATTATTTCTATATCAAGTATACTTTTTTCAAAATTGCTTTTTGTTGTGCGAAATATACGCGAAATAAATGTCCACAGAAAATTAACGTTCTAAGAAAATATCGCGTCAAAATTGAGAAATCGATTCAACAAAGCAATCTTGTATTATGTAAGTATGTATTAGTTTAATATTAGTCTAATTTGTTATTATTATTATGTGCTCTGCGTGATGCATACGTGAAAACGCAGGATGCCGTGGTCAGAATCCACGACTCGTGTATGAATGCACCGCTGCACACGTGCCACCCGTCTATCTGGATCGATACCTGTATTGGAATAACGAATTCTATCTGAAATCCGATTTATTCGAAAATAATAGCGGCTTACAATCACCGTGCCGCACTGACTACCGATTAAAACCGCCACGTGAATGGCGACGCGCATAGTTTTATTTGCAGACGAAACGCGCGCGCGATACCGTAAGCCATCGCGCGCGCATAGGGAAAAAAAAATAAAAAAAGAAATGAGCTTCTCTCACTTGGTACGGGTAATCCTCGATGTTCGCGTATTGGTGTCTTTCGGCATTAACGGCTGCAATCACAATTTATGTAAAACTGTCTGAATAGCTGGTCGTGTATTTACATAGAAAAATATGTATATCGGACTTACTGTATGCCAGAAGAACGCAGAAGAAGAGAACGAGTTTTTTGGACATTTTGTTTCCTCAACGATCGACCACGACTGATGACTATTGTGTGAAAAGATTGACAAGAACGGTTCGAGAACGAAAAATTCTACTTCGCATCCGAGATAATATTTAATATCTTTTTTATCGTATTGTATGTATTTAATATCATTTTATCGATATTTGAAATCATTCATAAAATTGTTAGCGTAAGAAGTGTTGTTCAAAACACGCAGCGCAATAAATTTAAGTTATCTCGTAGACACAATTTCTTACTTAAAAATGACATAGCGCGAGCCGCTTATGCGTTAAGTAAGTGATATCAAATCGAGAGCTAATAATGGAACAATCGTGTCAAGAATACGATATTCTACTTAAACTCACTCAAGTGTGCGAAAGGTAAAGAACTGTTCGCATACAAAATGTAATTTTTAACTCCATATCTTGTGATCAGAATAGAATATCTAATTAAAACGTTTCGAGTCTGTGTCTGATAAATAACACAGGATATTTAAATATAACATTGATATTGATTTCTTTGCTAATATTTATTTATGACAGATTGAGCACACTTTGTCTAAGTGTACATAATACAACTGATAGTATGTATCAAGAAACTATTTAGTTTTTACCAATATATAAGGCCTTACGAGCCGTTTCCAAGACGTTGAGCGGAAACTGTGTATATATATGTATATATGCGTACACGTGTAACAAATTCAACTTGTAAATTTTTTACAAGTGAGTATTTTTTTTGGAATTGAAAATTCAATTCTTAAATTTATACGGGATGCTGGATTTGCATCTCACATAGAGAGAGATCTCTCTCTCTCTCTCTTATTTAGTATTTCTTTTAAAACTTTAAACTCGACAGCTCGTTGACCGCGTTCAGTGACTTTCTTAATTTGCTCTTCTTTTAGATAACATCACAGAATTGTTTGTAAACCTACATTATTTGTAAACTTACAGTACATTATATTTACAATTTTCTCGTATAAACGTCATTTCTCTCGTCGTCATTTGTTGAAGCTTGATTTTCCACTGTGCGAATTGAGATTACACCAACACATATGAGGCGCCCTATCATCGGGGAGTTAAACACCACTGATCCATTTTATCCACCAGCGAATGTCGGCGACATTGGTGTAAACACCGGGATAATTCGGTATTGCGCATCCATATCCCCAGGACACGATCCCGTAAAGGGTTCCATTGGCGGTGAGAGGCCCGCCCGAATCACCTTGGCACGAATCCTTTCCACCCTCGTCGTAGCCCGCACAGATCATTCTGTCAGTGACAGGGCGCATATATCTGTATGCGTTTTGACACTTTTTACGATCCACAATTGGAATCGACACTTTCATTAGTATTCGTTTTGGTACTGAATTTGTCTAAAATTAAAGAAAAAAATAAAACACAATTGTTCGGTTACAAATTTTCTTTATAACGCAAATTTTATACTTTGAAGTAATTAAATTGACAAACTTCATTATCCAATACTTCTCAGAATATAACTTAAGCAATTTTTTTGTTATTTAAAACAAAATTGATATAATTTTAAAATCTTCGTACCGGAAACAATAAACAAATTTAATCCAAAGAATTATGTTTTTACGCGAACAAAGCAAATATAACAATTATCTCCTCACAAAATCGATTCGTCGATAACCAAAGAGATAACGGAAAATAGAATCGATATTGATTATCAGATATTATCGCGGAATTAGAGAACATGCTGCGAAAGTTGCGCTTCCGTTGAACGACCGATCGGGAAAGGGAAGCAAAGTAATTTAATAATAGCGCCGTAATATAATACCTTTGATACATCCGCAAACGTGATTTAGTATCATTGAAGGGAACGCGAAGTGATATCGATTTTTTGACACCGCGGTTCGATTTCCGGCTTAGGATATTCGCGCGCGCTGTCGCGGAACCTTTGAATCGCGCGACGACACGCGCGAGAGAAATCCGTCCCGCTATTTAACCACATCTGTTTTACGGAACATTTCGATAATGAGCATGTTCACCGTGAACTTACCTTTGCCACATCCCATCCGGTAACGTTCATCATAGCGCCAGCCGGGGGTTCTTTTTCCGCCAGCTTCACTGGCTGCACATTATCGTTAAATGTGATTTCGCCATCGACCTGAAATGAAATTTCTAGATCGTACGGGAGTACCGATGTTGTTATTGTCAGCTGGCGCACTCGCTGTTAGCGAGTAGAGAAATATAGAGAAAGAGTGAGAGAAATAGAGTAAAAGAGAGAATTTGCTCGTACCTCGAGAAGGGCAATATCGTAATCTATCGTGAGAGCATCGTAACTGGGATGTTGAACGATCCTTTTAACTTTATAATAAACGCCTTTGTACTTGTTGTTATTTCCCGCATTGAGTGAGTAAACGCCAGTCGGCTCGATCTTGCTGTAACAAAACGAGACGTGCGTCGTCGATATATAAAAATACCGTGGCGATAAACGCATGTATAAGCTACGCGAGTTGCGCCATGACAATTGTCGATATTAATATCGACAGAACGTTTGCGCGATGCAAATGCAATAGCATTGCAGATGATCGTGCAAACGTGCTTACGTGTTTTCTAACTTGCGGTGGCTAAACGTGTTGCAATTGCATCGAGATAAATGTGAGAACTATATTTACAAATAATTGACAATTATATATTTGACTAGCGATAGAAAAATAATTTAGAGAATAGTCTTTGAAAAGACTATTTTCTTTAATATTGCACGTAATTAAAACATTAAAATCGACTGTGACGGTGTTTACATTCTTTCATTCTTCATCGCTGTATTCGTAACAGAAATGTACCGACTTATGCACAATGTTATCTCTTCTTTGTGTATTTATTCAAGTTACATACGGTAGGAACCTCGAAAAAGATAAGCACTCCGATAATGAATACTGCGATTACTGTGTGAGACACTTGATAAGACGCACTTAAATTATAGCTCTGAGACGTCACGGAGATAAGAATCAAAGTCATTATCCGAAATGTCTTATGAAGATTTGGTTACTGATTTGCGAGATGAAATAACGTTGATGTGGTTAATATACCAGTGAGAGTAAGAGAAATACATATACCTGACGCAATGAGCTGCCGTGACAGCCCATTTATTACTGATGATAGAGGCCCCGCACACGTGCATCAATTTGCGCTGGAGGCTCAACTGATAAGGATGCTGCCTTATGTCAGTTATCGTGCCACCCACGATCCGGGGTCTGAAAGGACAAGCCGGCCGTACCAGGAAGAATGCTGTGATATTAAATCTGATGATGGAATTTGTCTTCGGCCGCTTCAGCAAAAAAGTTGAACCACCCTCCGCCCTTTCTCAGAATGCGATGCGTACGTAAATCACGCGAGAACTCGACTTGACTTTATTACGTGCGTTTTTCTCACTTGTGTAGCCATCTGAATTTTTTCTCGCCGAAATAGAGCGCGTTAAAGATAATAAAAAGAAAAAAAAAACGACCGACGAAGTTTGATACTTTAACTGAAACTTTAACTGAACTGATTTGATTTCGTCATTCGCTGTTATTCGTCGAAGAGGCTAATGTCTGAGACGAGAGACGTCAGAGAGTTGGAGACGTTACGACCGTTTTATTCGAAATTCACCGAAAAATGAAATCAATCGACTCACAGACTCGAATATAAGTTCAACAATATAAGTTCGCGAACAGAACACATATATACGTCACACACATATGCATACGCATACACGAACACAGAACAAATATTACGCGATATTGTAACAAATAAGAATTATCGAAACTCTTTCACTCACCGAAACCTCCGAGAAGGAGAAGGCATGAAGCGAAGCTCCGTAACATCTTTCTTAGTACATCAAAGTAGTATTCCCGTACACGCACACCGGCATTTATATTGGAGTCGCGTTTCTCAGATCTGACGAAAAATTCTTATCTCGTGACGACAACGCGTTTTGTTCGTGCGCCGTATGGCACAACAGAGTTGCTACAAAGAAAACTCGTGTAGAAAACAAACGCGTGTTACGGAAACTATACTTTCCATAAAATCACAATAATGCCGTAAGATAAGATAACCATTCGTGCTTACGACTATTCAAATATGCGCGCCGCAGAAGGCAAATAAATACTCTGAGAGAATATTGTTTTTTAAAAAATATATAATCTTCTTGTATATAATTGACAGTTTTTTTAATGTTAATTTTTATGTTTCTTTCCGCATAAATGCAAAAATTCACATTGTTTTCGTAGAATGAAAAGTAATGTGTAACAACAAGCAAGTATACAAGCAAGAATAAAGTACAGTGTTTTTTTAATATGTCCTTAATGTTCTTAAATATTTATTCTGTTGCAATTATCGAGCCCGTACGTCTCTGTCAATAGATTCAATCAGCAATTCAGCTTTTATCGGGTTTTCCCTTGATTAATCATCCTATAATCCACGATTTCGAAAATCTGAATAGCACAAAGTAACGAGCAGTGTGTGTGTGTGTGTGATTTAAATTTTGACGCAGACGGCTAATAATATATCAGTTATATTTGTAAAAGTGTTTCTATTTCGAGCTAATAAAGATTTGCTCTCTCTCTCTCTCTCTCTCTCTCTCTCTCTTTCTCTCTCTCTCTCTCTCTCTTACAGAAATCGTTCTACATCAGAATAATTTTAACAAACAAAACATATAGATAGATAGTAAAGTCATTGACCTTATTTTGATGATAAGGCACATTTACCTTGTGTTTATTCTTTCTATGCGTTATTTTTAAGATTTAATGTATTTTATTTTATAAATAAAAACAGTTTTATAATAAAATCTCACATTTATAATAAAAATCTGACAAGAAATCTCCATTCGGAAAAATCTCTCGAATTTAATAGGTCTCGTTATTGAAATTCTGCGCATAGTATTGGTTTATAGCTAATTAAATGGAAATTCGCGATTGAGATAAATTTTAACCGAAGCTTGCCTTCCTATTATATCTTTCATATCTATTTCACCAGGTATTCGGAATTCAAATACACGCACGTTTGCGGTTTTCAATACATCAATTAATGAAATTCTACTGATCCCATAGTTTCATTGAGCAGATGATTTCTGTCTCCGTACGTTACTTGGCAAGGAATTCCGATCATTTATTCATGCATATATTATATAACGTGATAATTCTCTAAGTTATTGACTTTTACTGTTCTTTTTGAAACAGCGATTGCGTATCGGCTGATTAATTAGGGCTCAGACTGTCATATCTATTAATATTACCACAGAATATAGCTAGTGTCTGCTTATACGCGATATTTCGAGAATTGTTACGGAAGATAAAAGAGTGCCACGCCAGGCTGCGCACTTGCCGACACCGGCAGGGACTGCTGTCTGGCGATTAACATATAAATCAAACCTCCGTCTGCAGGCCGGCTCCTCCTTCTCGCGCGCTTGAATTCGAATTCCTCTGTTATTCGCACCGCATGCGTGTGTGCTCGCAGTCATCTCCGCTTGCTGCTATCTCTTCCGTTCTTTCTCTCTCCCCCTCTCAAAAAAAAATGCATGTAGAAAGAATGTTAGGATATTGAGAAACGCAGAGTCATTGAGATTGTATTCTGTGTTCACCTATCAAGTTAACACTGCGCTCGATAAAGTATCTATATAAAATACGAAAACAGCACGAATATGTATATATAAATTTGTTCTTTGTCAGTTTCTAAATTGCGTTTTTAAATCAATCGAAAGAGCCAAACAAAAACTTTTAATGCGTTAATAAGGAAAGAAACCTTTAACGCTTGCGTCATAAGCTTTAAAATATCGCGTTTAGAAAATGCGTTGTATGTCAATAGTTTCTATTACAATTACACGCTCGCAGATTGATAGAAGAAAATTATTTTCGACGAATCAAACGAGATTATGTTGATCCAAGAACTCTCAACACAATCACCGAAATCTTTTTTAACTCGATAGTTCCCATTACATTCGATTCATAAGCGAAAACTTCTATTTATAATTTCTATCCGTGACATACGTGTATGTACTACGGTTCCAATATAATTCCGAGAACTCCGAGCTGATTCCGCTCGGTGGGAAGACTACTGGCGTAATTTGAGCGGAAGGAAACTAACGTCCTTGACTTGCCTTACGTACGTCTCGAAGCCACGATGGGTAGCCGAGGCGGGAGTCGTGGGTGCCGTATGTCTGCCACGGTCGGGACTAACGAGTCCCATCCTAAGAGAATCCTCAGTCTGGACATCTCCGTACCGCGTATAACGAATACTTTCCCTGCTCTCTGCCGTTCTTTCCGCCGTCTCTATTCCTTTATCGTTCAAGAGCACGTCCACGGCGATTACTGCACACCGGGGATGCGCGTCGCGACGGCGTATGCAATTTCCACACTCTCGCCGGTAGCAATTTATCAACGACGTAAGTCGTTCGCGAATGCTCTCACGCGAGAAGACGAAGGAAAGATCAAGGAAACGAGGATATGTCCCGTAGAGGACGCTCGTCTCGTCGCTACTCACTTCGAGAGTGTCTGGAGGAGAGGAAACTTGGTTCAAAGATATTTTTCTGCGAGATGCAGTCGCCGCGTTTCGGTGATGTTTGCGAGTGCAGCTCGATATAAAAGATAATATTATGAAATATCAGAGGCGTCTGATGGCACGATCGAGGAATCGCGAGGTAAATTCTTAGGAACAAGTTTTTCGATTGTCGCGCGACGCGTTTGAAATTTTGTGTTGGCGAATAATGTGATATTTCAATCCGGTTTTTAAGACACGTGACTAAAGGAAAGTCACGTGTTGTTTTTTCTCTTTTTTCTGTCACGACTTTACTTTCAGTCACGTTTTTAAAGACATACATACTACACAAATTGTGTCGCGTCGCGATTTTTATTCCGAGTGAGATTATAAACACTCTCGGTGTCGCATGCGCGGCACATCGCCGCGTCTAGTACCGACGCGTAGCAATTAACAATCAGCGATTTTGATAACGAGCTGTGGCATAATTTCGAAATTTACCTCTAATCGAGTAAATTCCGCGCCGAACTGCATTTTCCGTGCCTATGTATCCTCGCTGCGTTGCGTCCCCCGACGCGTTGTCTAGCCGCTTTAAAGCCGCACCTGTACGTACGTCAGCCACATAATTGGCTTTCGCGATCGTGCCGAAGTACTTGAAGGCGCGAGGATTACCGGGAACCTGATTGCGCGAGAGCTTTGTGCGGTAATTTGGATTTTCCGTCGTTTCCCGTGCTTCGCTCGCCTGCTTAGCTACCCTCGTCGCTTTCATGGTGCTTGCGAGTTTTGCCCTGCGAGTAGATAAAGGCGCATTCGTAAGAGCAAGCAGTTGGCAGTCGAAAACCGTCTTTTCTGTCAATGGGATACGACGAGGGCTTACGTTCTTTTCAGTGATTTACGTTCTTTTCACGATCGATAAGGACGAGCACTTAAATTTCAATTGCTTATGTAATCGTAAAATATGGAACGAATATCATATCTCGTTTCAGATCCAACAGTCGTATTTTAAAAACACAAGAACGGTATAAAGAAAATAATATGCATATTTCGGATGTCATTTCTTAGCATAATATGTTTACATGTTAAAAAGTAAATTTTAATTTGGTTAGATATTTTATATTATATTATCTGATGTGAATTAACGAGTAATTATCGGTATTCAAGTTATGTGCATTTTACGTTAAGATTTAAAGAAACGATTAGAATTTTATCGTGTGTATTTAAAATAAAAATATATAAATATCTATTTAACTCTTATCTATTTTATTATCTATTTATTATCTTTTTGAGAGAAAGTTCTCAACCGCGAGATCTCATATTATGTTATCGGAGTATCCACTGTAATTTGACTATTGTCGCAACTACTGCGAGAAAGCGTCATGGCGGACGCTCGTTAGCGCGATCTGCACGAAGACGTAGTTAGGACGACTGTCTGGCGAATGGCCGACAAGGCACAGGAAAGATGACCCTCACAACGTGGCCGGACGACCGGGAAAGAGCGTCGGTTTACCCCCCGGGAGGGTGCGAGGGAGGAAGGGAGGATGGGAGGAAAAGCAGGGGAAGAGTGTTGCGCGGGAATACGCAGCGCTGAGGTTGTAATTATACCTGCATGCATCGTTTCTACGTGCATTATAAATGGCCGTGCATTATGAATGAACCGCCGGAGGAACCCGCCGGATTATCCACCCGAAAGAATGGTCCCGCCATTCTACCTAAATCATACCCACCGGCGTCGTTTTGCACCACTGGCGATGTTCTCGAACTCGGGGGATAATTTCTGCATCGTGAGCGAGAGGATGTAGGAGAGAGAGAGTAATAAGAGCACAACCGCGACATTCTTCAAAGCGTTTCAATGTTTGACACAATGTTACTTCATCCCGAAATTGTCCCGTAGAAATAATAGATTCACAAGCGTGCGAGCTCCACAATGAGAGAGAAATCTTACGATAAAATTGATTTTAAATTGCGATTTTTTGAAGAATTTTGCTTAGAAGTCGGTGTATATATATTGGAATTGTAACATTTGCTTTGCGGCGTTCTCTACTTTTCCTCATTATAAATCAGTTCGTAATTATATACGTTTTACATTCGATGTGCAGAGCGCGGAACGCGTCAGAAAGCGCGCGGGAATGATGGACGTATTATTCCGCTGCGCTTTACTGCTCGTATAACATTTTAAATCTTAATGGAGTACGCTCTCTGAAGACACGTAAACCGTAACGGCCGAGCGATGAATTAATTACGCGGGTTAGTCGTTCGCACTCCGAGATAGAATCGTGCGAGAGAAATTCGCGGGCTCGATTTAATATTTCACTCGTAACCCGCGGGGCACAAATTCCTCGCAAAACCTCCTCCCTCGAAAGCCGAAATGTACGTCGCGCCCATGTTCCCGGGTCGCCCCGTGTGTAATATCTCGCGTAATATTATTTGTAATAAAATTTAATTAACCTCACGTCGCCGTGCGCGGCTGCCATTAACGCTCGTGTGACTC